CTTAGGCTGTCTTCATTTCTTTTCATTCTTTTTTCTTTTTTCTGTTCCACAGCAGTGAATTCCACCATTCTGTCTTCCAGGTCAGTTATCCGTTCTTCTGCCTCAGTTATTCTGCTGCTGATTCCTTCTAGTGTATTTTTCATTTCAGTTATTGTATTGTTCATCTCTGTTTGTTTGTTCTTTAATTCTTCTAGGTCTTTGTTAAACCTTTCTTGCATCTTCTCGATCTTTGCCTCCATTCTTTTTCCGAGGTCCTGGATCATCTTCACTATCATCATTCTGAATTCTTTTTCTGGAAGGTTGCTTATCTCCACTTCATTTAGTTGTTTTTCTGGGGTTTTATCTTGTTCCTTCATGTGGTACATAGCCCTCTGCCTTTTCATCTTGTCTGTCTCTCTGTGAATGTAGTTTTTGTTCCACAGGCTGCAGGATTGTAGTTCTTCTTGCTTCTGCTGTCTGCCCTCTGGTGGATGAGGCTGTCTAAGAGGCTTGTGCAAATTTCCTGATGGGAAGGACTGGTGGTGGGCAGAGCTCAGTAAAATTTTAATCCACTTGACTACTGATGGGTGGGTCTGGGTTCCCTCCCTGTTGGTTGTTTGGCCTGAGGCAACCCAACACTGGAGCCTACCTGGGCTCTTTGGTGGGGCTAATGGCAGACTCTGGGAGGGCTCACTCCAAGGAGTACTTCCCAGAACTTCTGCTGCCAGTGTCCTTGTCCCCATGGTGAGCCACAGCCACCCCCCACCTCTGCAGGAGACCCTCCAACACTAGCAGGTAGGTCTGGTTCAGTCTCCCCTGGGGTCACTGCTCCTTCCCCTGGGTCCCAATGCACACACTACTTTGTGTGTGCCCTCCAAGAGTGGAGTCTCTTTCTCGCCCAGTCCTGTTGAAGTCCTGCGATCAAATCCCGCTAGCCTTCAAAGTCTGATTCTCTAGGAATTCCTCCTCCCGTTGCCAGACCCCCAGGTTAGGAAGCCTGACGTGGGGCTCAGAACCTTCACTCCAGTGGGTGGACTTCTGTAGTATAAGTGTTCTCCAGTCTGTGAGTCACCCACCCAGCAGTTATGGGGTTTGATTTTACTGTGATTGCGCCCCTCCTACTGTCTCATTGTGGGTTATCCTTTGTCTTTGGATGTGGGGTATCTTTTTTGGTGAGTTCCAGTGTCTTCCTGTCAATGATTGTCCAGCAGCTAGTTGTGATTCTGGTGTTCTCACAAGAGGGAGTGAGAGCACATCCTTCTACTCCGCCATCTTGGTTCAGGGCCAGGGACTTTGTTCTTAATGCTTTCACCAATTCTTTAGTCCTTAGCAATCTGCTAGAAGACTTCTGTGGCAGCTTATTTTCACTACTGAAGGCAGGATTTCATCAAAGGGGGTAGCAAAGCATCATAGGAATTCAGGCTATAGTAGAGTCAAACCTGGGTTCAAGTGTCACTCTCTCAGTCATCTTGGGCAAATGATTTAACCTCTCTAAGCCTCTGTTTCCTTATGTACAAAGTGGAGATACTAGTATTTACCTTGGGGTTGGCTGTGAATATTAAGTGAGGTTATGAATGTAAAATCCTTAACACATTGCATGGAACATTTTAAGTATCTAACAAATCTTACCAGTTATGAGGATCAAAGACTGTAGGCAAAGGGGCTAGGAGAGAGGGGAAGGATGCTAAAAGGAAACTCTTATCATTTAGCCTATGATAGACCCTATTTACTTTCAAATATGAGTGAACAAATAAAGATGCTTGGAGGTGTTACAAGGGAAGAGACTATACTGTCAGTCAAATTTGTTCAGTGATTACTATGGCCAGGGAATGGAACAGAAATAGGCAAGACCCGTACCTTCAGGAGTCTTAAGAGTCTAGTTTCTCAGTAAAACTTCAGTAGCCACTGCTAATCTCATAAGAATGTGGTAAAAATAAATAGGTGAAACTCTGAAGTAATGTGGGTCTCATTATAGAATTAGAACCATAAGAAATCTGCCAGTCCCATCTTCAGATGGGTGAAATTCTGGGACAAAGGCATTATAAGAAGTAAAAAGGATCACTGCTGGTAGAATGTCATTCTGGTTCTGTTTCAAATTCAGAAATGTCAGAGAAGTACTCAACCTTTATAAATAATTAAATGAAAATTAGGGTGTGGTTGACAAAGTATTTCCAGTTCATGCGATTATTTTCAAATTAATATAAAATACCATTGTTCAAAACCACTTAAATCCCAACAAAAAAGAAATATGCAAATAAATTGTGGTATTTATAGCATGTCATGACTAAAAATCAGGTGTTTTTTTTTTTTTTTTTTGTGGGACGCGGGCCTCTCACTGCTGTGGCCTCTCCCGTTGCGGAGCACAGGCTCCGGACGCGCAGGCTCAGCGGCCATGGCTCACGGGCCAGCCGCTCCGCGGCATGTGGGATCTTCCCGGACCGGGGCACGAACCCGTGTCCCCTGCATCGGCAGGCGGACTCTCAGCCACTGCGCCACCAGGGAAGCCCTAAAAATCAGGTTTTCAAAGACTGAATAATGACATCGGGAAATGCTTTATGGTAAGTGAAAAAAAAAGCAAGCATAGATACAGTATGGTTCTATTTTTTTTAAATAGAAAATAGAAATAGAAAAGTGTATAGTATTACAAAGCTATAGTAATCAAAACAGTATGGTATTGGCATAAAAACAGACACGTAGATCAGTGGAACAGAATGGAGAGCCCAGAGATAAACGCACACATATGGTTAATTTATGACAAAGAAGTCAAAAATATATTGGGAAAAGATAGTCTCTTCAATAAATGGGGTTGGAAAAACTGGACAGCCACATGTGAAAGACTGAAACTGGACCACTATCTTTCACCATGCACAAAAATTAATTCAAAATGGATTAAAGACTTGAATGTAAGACCTGAAACCACAAAACTCCTAGAAGAAACAGTGGGTAAGGTCCTTGACATTGGTCTTGGCAACTGTTTTTTGGATTTCACACCAAAAGTAAAGGCAACAAATGCAAAAATAAACAGTGGGACTACATCAAACTAAAAAGCTTCTGTACAGTATAGGAAACCATCAACAAAATGAAAAGGCAACCTACCAAATGGGAGAAAATATTTGCAAATCATGTATCTGACAAGGGGGTTAATATCCAAAATATATAAAGAACTCATACAACTCAACAGAAAAGAAATCCAATTAAAAAATGGTCAGGGCTTCCCTGGTGGTGCAGTGGTTGAGAGTCTGTCTGCTGATGCAGGGGACATGGGTTCGTGCCCTGGTCCGGGAAGATCCCACATGCCACGGAGCAGCTAGGCCCGTGAGCCATGGCCGCTGAGCCTGCGCGTCCGGAGCCTGTGCTCTGTAACGGGAGAGGCCACAGCAGTGAGAGGCCTGCGGAACGCAAAAAAAAAAAAAAAAAAAAAAAGGGCAGAGGAAATGAATAGACATTTTTCCAGAGAAGACATACAAGTGTACAACAGGTACATGAAAAGGTGTTCAACATCACTAATTAGTAGGGAAATACAAATTAAAACCACAATGAGATATCATCTCCCACCTGTTAGAATGGCTGTTAACAAGAAATAACAAGTGTTGGTGAGGATGTGGAGAAAAGGGAACACTTGTGCCTTGTTGGATGCAGCCACTATGTACAACAGTATGGCGGTTCCTAAAAAAGTTAAAAATAGAACTACCATATGTTCCAGCAATTCCACTTCTGGGTATTATCTGAAGGAAACAAAATCACTATCTTGAAAAGATACCTGCACACCTACACCTATGTTCAGTGCAGCATTATTTGCAATACTCAAGACATGAAATGGAAACAAGTGTCCATCAGTGGATGAATGGATAAAGAAAATGTGACTATCTTTTTATCTATCTATCTATCTATATCTTAAAAAAGAAGGAAATCCTGCCATTTGTGACAACATGGATGGAACTTGAGGGCATTGTGCTAAGTGAAATAAGTGAGACAGAGAAAGGCAAATACTGTGTGATCTCACTTATAATATGTGAAATCTAAAAAAAGCTGAACTCAGGACTTCCCTGGTGGTCCAGTGGTTATAAATCCACCTTCCAATGCAGGGGATGTGGGTTCGATCCCTGGTCAGGGAACTAAGATCCCACATGCCACGGGGCGACTGAGCCTGTGCACTCTGGAGCCTGTGCACCACAACTAGAGAGAAGCCTGCCCACCGCAACGAAGAGCCCGCACGCTGCAACTAAGACCCAACACAGCCTAAATAAATATTAAACAAAAATGAAAAATAAATTTAAAAACCTGAACTCATAGATACACCACCAAATGGTGGTTGCCAGAGGAGGCGGGGAGGCAGGGGGAGTGGGTGAAGGTAGTGGAAAGTACAAATTTCCAGTAATAAGATAAATAAGTTCTGGGGATATAATCTACAGCATGGTGACTATAGTTAACAAGATTGTGTAAGTTAACAAGATTGTGTATTTGAGAGTTGCTAAGAGAGTGTATCTTAAAAGTTCTCATCACAAGAAAAAAAACAGTTAACTGTGTGGTGATGGATGTTAACTAAATTTATTGTGTTAATCATTATGTTATACACCTAAAACTAATACAGTGTTATATGTCAATTTTATCCCAATTTTAAAAAGTGTGTAAAAGAAACCAAGTTAATTACTGATAAAGCTGCATGGTGAGATTACAAGTAAATTTATTCTCTTCTTAAAACTTCTTTTGAATAAAATAAACATTTCAAAGAAAATGCTTCAGGCTCTTAAAATACTTGAGATCTATGGTGAATTAGGTTTCAGTTTAACAAAAGTCACATTAAAAATCTCTTAGTTTAGGTAAGCTACCACAAAACAATACCAAGACAAAAAGTAGTACTTGAAAAGGGGAAAACTTTCAATACTACTTTAACTCATATTGTTGTAGTATATAAATAATTATGTACTCCTGCCTATAAGGACTGACTACTGGTCAATAGATAACTTGGATTTATTAATAACATTCATAGATCTAATTCTGACATATCTCTTAAGTCATACCTTGAGAACAGCTATAAGCTTGAGAAGGGTCAACTATTATGTCCATTGGGAATGAGTTGTGTGATTCCTGAGAATGTTTCTCCACCACCTCTGCTGTATCACTGGATGAAGATGATGATGAAGACAATCCCAGTCTAACGTATCTTCCTTTTCTACCACAGAGTGAACAATCTACCGGTGTGGCACTAGGTCCCCGGGGCAGTTGAACTTCATCTCTTTGGTAGTTTCTAACAGCTCCACTGTGATGCACAGAGCGTTCTCGTTGCCATATATAATGGGTTGGAGCAATGGCCATAACCTGTGGTGGAAAGCTTTCTTTTAGAATTTTAATAAGATTTTAAAATTTAGTAAAATTAAGAACAAAAATTATAAATCAAGAACAAGCTACCTGTAAAACTAGATCTAAAAATCTGTCACCGATTTTTTTTAGAAAAAAAGCATTTCCAGATAAGGCAATATTACCCATAAAGTGATTCATTGCTTGGATCTGTAAGATAATAATTGATAATGTATTTAAATTATTTCAAACAGGAAATAGAACCGAAGCAACCTTCCAGGTTTTTCTGGATATTATAGGTTTGGGAAAAATAATAGTCCAAAACAATACATAATTCTCTGGAATGTACTGGGTTGGAAACAATATTTTTAATTGAGGTTTCCAGGTATGTATGTTAGGCTAATCTTAACATGTTTGCAATCACAGCAAGAGATATGGTGAATGAAAACACAGGTAGGGTGCTTAACCTCTGGGTTCCTATTCTCTTGTCTGTGGTATGGAGAGAATAATGGTGTCTATTGCAGAGGGTTGTTGCAAGGATTAGATGAGGGATTATTCAGAAAGTACTCAAGATTCCGTACTACCTCTCAGGCATTGTTCTCTAAGGTCGGTTAGAGAACACACTGCCTTTAGAGTCAGGATAGACTTAGTTTCTTATTTTGTCTCTGCCACTTCCTAGTTGTATGATACTTTGCAAGTTACTTAACCTTTCTGAGCCTCAATATCTTCATATGGAAAACTGGGGATACCATCTGCCTCATAGGACTGTCCTGAAGGTTAAATATGTGTAAAATCCTTATCACATAGTAAACATCTGGCGAATGATAGCCATTTAAGACAAGCTAGCGAAGTGTACCTACCTGCTGACCTCATGGTGTCTAAAACTTCTAAACAGAATGTTAGAATGTTACTTCTAAGCAAAAATGTTTAGTTGCGGTTATCAGTGACCCAAGGTAAATGAGAATTGTAGAATTTGAGAGCTAGACAGTGCTTTAAAAAAAATTATTCAAGTATCTAGACAAAATTATTATTCAAAAAAGACAGACAGTGCTTTATTAATTGCCTAGACGAGTGATTTTCAAACTGGTTTGAGGAGCCGTAGGTTTCACAGACAACATTAGGGGTCGCAGGAGGGGCTAAGGGAAGACACAGCAGGTGGAAGACCTCAATTGTGTGTAAAATTTTGTTTGGAAAGAAGGCTTTTGCTGTTAAGAATGAAAACCTTAAAACTCCCAGATTAAAGCTGATTCCCTCAGAAAATAGGGTTATTGTGCCTCCCCCAAGACAATGCATGAAGAATACTAGCAACCCTAATTTTTAAAGTGTACTTAGGATTGGATTTATTTTATAATCTACTTAAATCCTTCAAAACAGTTTTCAACCAAAGACATGTAATAAAGTTATATATCTTTTAAAAGGTAGAAGTAAATAAAGATATTAACTCTAAATATTACACATTTCTATGCCAGTGTAAAACTAGGTGCAGAGATACCCAAGGTGAGGAAGTAGAATATCAAATTTTCTTATTCCTTCCATATTTATCTACTATTTTTCTCAATATTTCTGTTTTTATTGCTCATGTCTGGAATGTCCTTTCCCTTTGTCTTAGTATTTCTTTTCCTTCAATTCCCAACATAAGTCCCACCTTTCTAGAAACTCCAGCTTTCAGATTTTCTTGTTTTATTATTAACGCTATATTAGGACTCAGCGTGTAAATGTTAGCACTCAGATGTACCTTTTTTTTTTTTTTTTTTTGAGGTACGCGGGCCTCTCACTGTTGTGGCCTCTCCCATTGCGGAGCACAGGCTCCGGACGCGCAGGCTCAGTGGCCATGGCTCACAGGCCCAGCTGCTCCGCGGCATGTGGGATCTTCCCGGACCGGGGCATGAACCCATGTCCCCTGCATTGGCCCCAGATGTACCTTTTTATGCATGTAACCTATTCTGCCAAAAGCCCCCTCTGGACAGGAATAGTTTCTCATACACCTCTTTCAAATGCCTTGTCCACAATATTATGCAGTCATTAAATAATTTTTAATGATAGATGAAAATATTTAAGAATTAGAGGCCACTAACATTATGAGCCTTCAGCAATATGATTTTTGTAGGAATCCTATATAGCAAAGTCTGGTGAAAAGAGCAGAGGGAAATATGAAGTAAAGGGCACAATATAGATTTGGTACTGTTCTTTCTGCAATAAGCTAGGCATTGTAGTCTCTCCACATGTTAACCCACCTAGAAAAATGCATGCACACTTACCTATTATGCTATTTAATTCCTGAGATAACATAATATAAGTGCATTTTCTAAACTAACCAACATAAGAGATGGAGGCTAGATGTCAGAGAAAACAGAACACTGGGAAGCCATTAGATGTGAAGTCAAGTTCTGGCTCTGCCACTTAACTGATATACGATCTTGAGTAAATCTCAACCTCCTTGGTCCTCACAAGTATTTTTGTAAGGATAAGAAGATAATTTATATGAAAATTAAATTTGTAAAGCACAATGCAAGTGTATAGTATAATTACTGTAAGCCAGTTTGTGGCTACTATCATAACTTGAGTTTATTTTAGGATATGTGACTAAAAAATGGGTTGACAGTATGCCAGTACTGGACTCTTAATAACAAATGCATAGAAAACTAAATTTCTAACAGCATGTCTTGCTACTATAATGCAGCAAACTTCAGGGCAAGGATGATGTAATACTTCTTTATAATAAACCTCCACAACACTGAACTTAATGTCTTACTCATAAATTAGCTGTTAAATGAATACTTAAAAGAACAGGATAAAACCTACTAGGTAATTTCTTTTTCTGTACACCAACATGATTCAAATGTACCTGGTTGGAACAACCAAAAAAAAAATCTTTATCTAGCTTATCTATCTAGATAAGGGTCAATGCTAGGTGAGCTCGGTAAAGAATTATTTTTTGGAGGGCTCCCCTCGTGGCGCAGTGGTTGAGAATCTGCCTGCTAATGCAGGGGACACAGGTTCGAGCCCTGGTCTGGGAGGATCCCACATGCCGCGGAGCAACTAGGCCTGTGAGTCACGAGTACTGAGCCTGTGCGTCTGGAGCCTGTGCTCCGCAACAAGAGAGGCTGCGATAGTGAGAGGCCTGCGCACCGCGTTGAAGAGTGGCCCCCGCTTGCCACAACTAGAGAAAGCCCTCGCACAGAAACGAAGACCCAACACAGCAAAAATAAATAAATTAATTAATAAATTCCTACCCCCAACATCCAAAAAAAATAAAAGAATTGTTTTTTTTAATTTATTTTTGGCTGCATTGTTGCTGCACACAGGCTTTCTCTAGTTGCGGCGAGTGGGGGCTACTCTTCGTTGTGGTGCACAGGCTTCTCATTGCGGTGGCTTCTCTTTGCTGCAGAGCACAGGCTCTAGGCATGCGGGCTTCAGTAGTTGTGGCACATGGGCTTAGTTGCTCCGCGGCATGTGGGATCTTCCCAGACTAGGGCTCGAACCCATGTCCCCCACACTGGCAGGCGGATTCTTAACCGCTGCACCACCAGGGAAGCCCAAGAATTGTTTTATAGTTTTGTTTATTTTAAAAAAAGTTTTTAATCAAGTATAGTTGATCTACAATGTTTCAGGTGTACAGCAAAGTGATTCAGTTATATATTTTTTCAGATTCTCTTCCATTATTGGTTACTACAAGATATTGAATATAGTTCCCTGTGCTATACATTAGGTCCTTGTTGTTGTTTGTCTTCATAGATAAGAAGGTATGAATATGAAAAAGAATCAGAAGCTTTAAGTTCCATTCATTCTGTCAGTCAGCTATATTTACTGAGCGCCTACAAGTCAGGCACTGTTACTGCATTCCTCTCTCCCTTCATCCCCAGGCAACCACTTTCTGTCACTTTGGATTATATATTCTTCACAGTTGATATAGATGAAACCATACAATATGTGGTCCTTTGGGGACTGGCTTCTTTCATTTAGCATAATGTTTTCAGGGTTCATCCACTTTGTAACATGTATCAATACTTTATTTAATTGTCAAGTAATATATCATTGTATAGATATTTTGTCGATCCATTAATTAGCTGCTGGACATTTCGACTGTTTTCACAACTATTGACTATTATGAATAAGGCTGCTTGCTATGAACATTCATGCACAAGTTTTTGTGTGGACATAGTTTTCATTTCTTTTGAGTATAAAACTAGGAGTGGAATTGCCAGGTCATATGGTAACTCTGTTTAGCATTTTGAGGAAATGCCAGACTGTTTTCCAAAGCAACTACATGATTTTACAATCCCACCAGAAGTGTATAAGGATTCCAATTTCTCCACATCCTTATCAATACTTGTTATTGTCTTTTTTTAAAAAAATTATAGTCATCCTAGTGGGTGTAAGGTGATATCTCCTTGTGTTTTTGAGTTTGCATTTTTCTGATGGCTAATGATGTTGAGCATCTTTTCATGTGCTTTTTTGCCCATCTGAATATCTTTTTTGAAGAAATACATATTCAGATCCTTTGCCCTTTAAAAAATTGGGTTGTCTCTTTAATACTGAGTTGTAAGAGCTGTTTATATATTTTAGATATAAGTGCCTTATAAAACAGATGATTTGCAAAATTTTTCTTCCAGTTTGTGGGTTGTCTCTTCACTTTCTTAATGGTGTCCTTTGAAGAACAAAAGTTTAAAATTTTGATGATGTCCATTTTATCTATAGTTCCTATTCTTGCTTGTGCTTCTGGTATTATATCTAAGAAACCTAATCCAAGGTCATGAAGATGTAACCCCTATGTTTTAAGATTTTTATAGTTTTTAGCTCTTAAATTTAGGTCTTTGATCCATTTTGAGTTAGCTTTTTATATATAATATGGAGTAGGGGTCCAAGTGCTTTCTTTCGCACATGGACATCCAGTTCCAGCACAATTTGTTGATAAGATGATTCACTCCCCACTTAATTTTCTTGGTACCCTTGCCAAAAGTCAACTGGACTCTTCCATTTTTATTCCATTGAGGGAGTATAGGGTGGTAACGAACGGTTTCTCTGAGGTGATATTTAAGCAGAGTCCTGAATGAAGTGAGGAAGTGAAGCATATGAATTTCTGGGGGAAAGCATTCCCGGTAATATGAATGGCAAATGCAAAGACCCTGAGGTGGGAGTGTCCTTGGTGCATTTGAAGAATAGCAAGTAGGCCAGAGTGGTTGCTGTGAAATGAACAAGGATGGGAGATGAAGTGAGAGATAAAGGAGGAGAGTTGGCAGACCATGTGGATCCAAGGTAAGTACTTTGTGTCTTTTACTCTATGTGAGATGGGAAGCCTCTGGAGGCTTTTGAGTAAAGGAGACATGATTTGACTTTCTAAAAGATTTACTCTTTAAATCTGCTATGAAGAATAGACTATAGGGAAGAAAGATGGTAAGGGAGACTATTTGGAAAGTTATGACAATAGTTGAGGCAAGAGATGACAATTAAAGTAGGGTTTAGTGGTGGAGGTGGTGAGAAATGGTAGGATGCTGGATTTTCTTTAAGGTATAGATGTGGGAAAAAAAAGTCTAGGGTGACAGGTTTTTGGCCTGAACAACTAGAATGATGGTTACTATTTATTAGCATGTGGAAGATTGCAGGAGGATCAAGTGTAGAGGTCTATGTGGGGGAATCAAAAACTCAATTTTCAGCATGTTAAGTTTGAGGTATCTACTAGATAATGAAGCGTAAATTAAAAATTGGATATGCAGATCTGGAATTAGGAGAGAGATCTGTTAGTTCTCAGTGTTGAAGCCTTGAGAGACTTTTCTGTAAATCCCATTCCACAACTGACTTTCCAGGTGTCTAAAACTTTGTAGTCTCGTACACATACACCATTAAGCCACATAACTCTCTGTCTCTTTGTCTGGTGCCAGCAACTGAGGTAATTCCAGCTCCAGCAGAATAAAGTTGTTGCAGTTAAAATGATAGTCATTGTATTTTAGGAGTGGGTAAGCAACCTGCCATGAGGAAGCATTGCCTATCCCGGCCTCTTCTGCCTCCAGTGCCCGCTCCATGTACTTAGCTGAGTGTTCTACAGGGCTTGAAGCATTTACTTTGAAAAAATCAGAGTGTTCAAATAAGGCCCGCTATCACATCAAGGATGGCAACAGGTGCGCAAATTACCCACTCCTCACCTAGGGAGGTAGTGACAAAATATAACAAGACAGGACTTTTTCAATGCCCTGTAATTGGAATGAGTCCTTTAAATTCCTTAATGAGGATCCATTAATCTGGGGAGGTGGGTCATACATACCCAACTTTTCATATTTTTCTATTAAATATAATCTTGTAAAGACTTGGCCTGCTGCACAGTCCTCTAAGTTATTTTTGAATCCTTGCATTTCCAACATTCAACAATCCTAATCCACAAATATGCATAACTGCTATATCTTCATCTCATTAATAAATATAATTAACAAGGTTAATTCTGGGCAGAGTTCTGTGACACACCTCTGAAGTCTTCCCTCAGGTCTGACACTAATCCATTAATTGGTTCCTTTGGCCTGTAGTCATTAAACTAGATATGACTTCATTTTTTTTTTTTTGGCTGCGTTGGGTCTTTGTTGCTGCACGTGGGCTTTCTCTAGTTGCAGCGAGTGGGGACTACTCTTCTTTGCAGTGCGCAGGCTTCTCATTGCGGTGGCTTCTCTTGTTGCGGAGCACGGGCTCTAGGTGCGCAGGCTTCAACAGTTGCAGCATGCAGGCTCGGTAGTTGTGGCTACACGGGCCCTAGAGTACGCAGACTTCAGTAGTTGTAGCGTGTGGGCTCGGTAGTTGTGGCTCGTGGGCTCTAGAGCAGAGGTCCCCAACCTTTTTGGCACCAGGCACTGGTTTCATGGAAGATGATTTTTCCACTGGTCGGGGTGGATGGTTCTGGTGGTAGTGCGAGCAATGGGGAGCGGCAGACAAAGCTTCGCTCACTCCCCCACTGCTCACGTACTGCTGTGTTGCTCAGTTCCTAACAGGCTGTGGACCAGTACCAGGGTACCAGACCCCTGCTCTAGAGCGCAGGCTCAGTAGTTGTGGTGCATGGGCTTAGCTGCTCCACAGCATGTGGGATCTTCCCGGACCAGGTATTGAACCTGTGTCCCCTGCATTGGCAGGCGGATTCTTAACCACTGCGCCACCAGGGAAGTCCCATATGACTTCATTTAATTACAGCATTATCTAGCCCACATTTACCAAACTTCTTTGAACTAGCACTGCCTTATAGTGATCATTGCCTTCCATTTAATTTTCTACTCCAAATTTTTTTAGTTTGAAACATTAACTTTCTTTACTGAAAACCAGAACATTAGATAAAATAATCTTTTAACTTTTAGTGTCTTTCTGCTTTGTATTAATAGAATCTGGCATCAAGGAAACTTTATGTATGCTTTATGAAAAGAGGTATAGTTTTTAAACTTATTTTATACCATGTAGTTCACATTTAACCTTGGGAACTTGAAATTTTGAGACTTTAACAGAAATTATTTAATGGAAATTATTATTCAGCTCCAATGTTATTACCATGATGTATTTTGGAATGTGCATGCTATTCTTTCCCAATATACTGGTGATCTTTTTAGAGAAACACTCTAAAATAAAAATACTTTCTACAGAAGTAGGCTGCTCTGAAAAACAGAAATGACAATTTTTAATTATTGTGGTATAAAATTAAAACATCAACATTGTAATATAAAAGTTGTACTCATGGTAATCATCAAGGTTAATGGTTTACCCTTCATATACAAAAAAAGTGAAACATTAGAAGCACATTAAAAAACAAGACAAGGAAAACTACATAAAGAGAAGACAGAGATTATATATATAACGCATGTAAAACTCTTACCTCCTCACAGCATCGCCGGCTTACAATAGCCCTATAGTCAATTCTATCCCAGAGTTTGTCCCTTAACTTTAAGAAATCAGGGAATAATTTTCTCCAGTTTTTCCCTAAAGCCCATGGAAAAATTTCATATTTGGATTCTTCTTCATCTTCTTCAACTGTATTAGCCAGATACCTAGCAAAGAAGACCAACAACTCAAAAAAGAAATGGGTAAAGGACAGGAACAGACAGTTCTCACACACACACACACACACACACACACACACACACACACACACACCAACTTGTTTATAAACACATAAAAGATGTTCAACCTTATGCATGATTAAAGAAAGGTAGATCAAAAATAGAGATACAGTGAATTTTACCTTGTTGAGTTCTGGATACTTTTATATTCCTATCAGTCTTGAGCTTTGCTCTGGGATGCAGTTATATGGAAACGGTCTGATCCTTTCAAGTCTTGCTTTCATGATTTGTTAGGTGGATCTGGAGCAATATTCAGTCTAGGGCTAATTTCTCCCCACTAAGGCAAGATGTTCCTGAGTACTGTACTCAGTACTGAATTACTCAGTGTGAATTATAAGTTTTTTCAGTCTGGCTGGTGGGAACAGGCACTATTTCCAGCCCTGGGTGAATGTTAGTCACTGTGTTCCCCTATTCTTAC